AGCCAGTAGGCAGAATGAGGAAGTGCACCTGGAATCAATTTTCTACCAAGTCACATTTCTTGACAGCCTGTGTGGATCAAATGGGTATGGTCAGCTGGAAAATTTTATTTTTTTTCCCAGAATTAAACTATAATTCAATAGCTTATCCGACTGAACCCCACAGAGGAGAATTTGTGTGGTCAGCAAATACAGTCCAGAATAAACTATGAGTTTGTCCAAGCTACTGATTAAGCAGCAGCACATACATACGATCTTCCATGAATAAAGATGCATTTTCATTTGGAAGTAGATTATTTGGACAAAGGCAGACTAAATCATGCCTTCAAGCCTGGAATCGGAATAAAACTCGGCATGGTCGATTTGTCAAAAGAAAACAAGGGTGCGGCGTGAATGCACTTAAGTGTGTGAGGCTTCCAGAAGGCAGTTTTAGGATGAAAAGATCTCAGAGGCTTAAAACAGAAAAACCAATGAAAGCTAACGCTGAGTGGCAGAATACCATATGCTGCTGTAATCATGTTTATGCTTTATGCAACCCAAAACATTATGCAGGCATTTAACTTTGCAATTCACTCACTGCGACTAATGGGCTGTATACAACAACCAAACGTCTCTCCTTGAGACTCTTCATTAAGTCATGCAGGTGCAAGTGCAGCTAGTAATTGCTTTCAGTGTAAATAGCAGTTTAATCATTCCATTATTAACTGTTCACAGAGAATAACAAGCTTTTTTTTTAATTTGATTTCTCAGTAGAGCAGGACCATAAAAAAACATCTGGCCCAAAGCCACTTCAAGTACAGATGGGCTAAAGAGCATGTTAAGAAGAGAGCTCTGCCTGGAAGCTTTGGGTCTGGATTGCTCCTATTATATACTGAAAGGTTTAAGAGAACTTTGTAAGCTTAAACATCATGGTACACAGGATTTTATGTCCAGCTTCCAGTCAAGATTCCATATGGTGAAAATACAGCGCCAGCTGTTAATATAATAAAGTACTCAGCAAGTCATTCTCTAGCACCTTCAGTATTTTCTAGTTGGTCACATCTGCCTCACACTGTCGTGCCTCATACAAATTGTATGATTGTTTTCAGCTTTTTTTTATTATGTTGGAGGGTGATAAATCATTGATGCAAGGTGAAGCACCAAGACATTTTAACAAAGGAGAGTCTTCCATAGGGATACGTTTACAGAGCTGGTATTTGTGTGTGGTCACCTTGTTCGCCTCACTAACCACTGTATTGATTATTGTATCTATTCATTATCTGTTCAATCCATTCTGTTTTCCTCTATCTCTCTTCCAACCCAGAGACAGGACGGACACATGCAGCGAATCATTCGGGAAGTCAATACCACCAGCCGCTCTTGTGTTCTTTGGGACCTGGAGGAGGAAACACACTACATCATCCAGGTCCAGTCCATTGGCCTCTACGGGGAAAGCCAAGCCAGCAAGAAGGTGCATTTTCGCACCCTTAAGAAGTCCGATCGCGTCCCCTCCAACAGCTCCAACCAAGGTAAGCTGCTCTGACATACAAATACTGATTATTTCCTATGGCAAAAACCAGGGCAAATAACAGACTGTCGATTAACTATTAAGGGCTTATGTCTCCTCAACTACCGTTAAACCTTTGTAAAACCAGAATTAAACTGCAGCTGTGGTGGTGTTTTGAATTTAAGTGCATTGACAGGTACAGAATATCATAATGAAGACATACATACAGTATTAGACCCAGTGCTGTCGGCACTGAGTGTAATTATTAAGATTACTGCAGCACTGTGCTTCATCTCCCTGTGCTACACAACATAATGCTTTGCTTTTAATTCTATGCTTTTTTTCTTGAAGCTCAGACAGCAGTAGCCCATTACAGATACTTCTTCTAGCTGTTGAATGCTTTTACATGCCCTGACATTGAAAATGAGATACAATAAAGAATAATGTGGACATACTGTAAGTGCTATTCATCTGAAGCCTCCTCTCTCCAGGTTTCTTGGGGGGCTATTTTCTTCTAGATACCAATTCGCTATTGACACACTGTTCAAGCATGACTGCAGGCAAGCTCCTCTGCATTTATGCAACTCTATATCACTCCAAGTGGCTAATCAGGATGCTGACACACGCTCTGAATGACTTCAGATTTAGTGTCTCATGGGCTGGAGGAAAACTCAAGACCATGACCAATACAGAATAGGTTTGGTAGCTCTCAATGTCTTACTGCACAGATGAGGAAAATGTGAGGAAAAAGGTATTTGCTTTTTGTTATAAGCAGTTTGGAAGAGTCTTTGTTTCAAAATTCCTCTGCTAATCTGATCTGCATTCATTCAGCCATGATTGTGGGATGAGCCAAATACAGGAAGGTAATAAAATGGCAATTTGGATCTTACATTGGTGTAGAAACAAGCACAATACTTCAAACTATTTTTCCGCTGCTTTATGGTTCAGTCGAGGTTGAAAAGATATGAAGTGCTGACGCAAGGGACATAAATGTTCCTGTTAAGCTGACTCAGGTTTGGTACCATTAGGTAAGCTCGCAAGATCAGCTAAAGTGAAAGAGCAAGAAACTAATTCAAGCTCATGTTCAACACAAGAGCCTGTGCGCTGTCCATTAAGCTAATACAAACAATGGTATTGTGCTCCTTTTCTATTGCTATAGTCAGGAAATGATTTTTCTGCACTTATGTTTGAAGTTAAATGCAAAGGATTTTAGAAAGTTCACTAGCCATCAATGTCTGAACAAAGTGCTGAGCATGAGAAGACACATGCCCTGTATCTTACTATCTTCCCAGGACTCAAGGATCCAGTCTTCCATTAATGAGGATTTGTAGCCCCATCAATCATCATCCCCTTCACCCCCGCCGAGCGTTATCCAAATGGGTCAAAAAATAACCAGCTCAATAGATTAGCTTCATTTGTAGGAGTTTGGTTTGTACGTGTAGAAGCAATCAGTGTCAATTTTCCATAAATCTAACGCTGACTCCTCCTGGCCCAGTTTCAAAGTCCAGTCGCATCAGCTTTCTTTGTGTAGCTCTTGTCAAGTTCATTTATCTGCTTTTCTTTCATGTTTGGCTCTTCGTCACTCTACTAATCACTTGGACATTGTTAAACTTGCTGTGCTCCATGCACACCTCACCTGGGAGAAATCTATACAGAACAGCTGCAAATAATGCTCCACCTGTTGCACTGTTATTCAATTTTTTACCCCAGTTTCAGACAAAGGCCCTAGCTGAATGACTACCCTGACAAACAGTGTCCTATTTAACTCTGTTAGTGGGATGGAACATTACAACACAATCAGGAAAAACAATATTAATAAAGTAAAATATAATTAGATCATTGTATAGTTTTTCTGTACAATTTTGTCAGTATTTCCATATAAATGAGCCCATTAAAGATGCAAGGAGACATCTCATTGCAGACAGGGAGTAAAGGAACTTTAGGTCATCAACATGAGAAGCTATGCATTTCTCATACACACTCCTTTGAGACATTTCTTTAAGCCATATAACAAATTTTCACATACTCTATAAATAAATTCATTTGCTTTTATTTTAATTAAGTTTTTAAAAAAGGAAGATTTTGCCTGCTTGGAAAGGATGTTTACAATGCTTTCTCCAAAAATAACATTATTTTTCATAAACCTTAATGCACCGTAGTTTAATGTGACCTTTTTTTTTCCTGTGGTTCTTGCTGCCAGTCACTGTTCCTTAAAAAGCTCTTTTAATCTGGCTGGCTCCAGCACTGCAAGGCCATTTCAGAGATCCATTGTCACAGCCAAGTGCCTCCTATTGAAAGTAAACTGATTTGCACTATATACCAGACATTTCCAAGAGCTAAAGCTAATACCCACGGATCAGTAATGCTTTTATTTTTTTCCTCAATGCAATATGATTACATTTTATTGGACATGCCATGATGTATACCTTGCCTGGTCAGATTCATAATCCCCCTGTATTTCATACAAAGCATTTACTGGCAAAAGTTTGAATTTAAATGGTCTACAGTGGATTTTTTTTTCTCCCCCACGATCAATATTTTGCTCCACAATCCATTTCAATTTCATTAGTTCTGTGGAAAGCTTTTAATCAGAGTGTATATTTGTACTTTGTCTGCCCTTCAAGGGTGAAGTATGTTGAGCTGCGGCTCCTTCAGATTTAAAAACTTACACAAGTAAAACAAGAAGACAGACAGAAAACACATTTTCAACATTTTAGAGAATAGATCTTACTGAGGTAAAACTCCTAATTAGATACAAGCAATTGTAAATGCAAGATTTGAGATCTACGATAAAGATGGGTAAATAAACACGCTGTGTGGTTAGTGTGAACGCCATAGTAAATACAAAAATCCCCCAAGAAAAGACAAGAAACCACTAAAAATGCTAGCCGCTGCCAGTAAGCTGTCAGACTGCTTCAAACACTAAAGCAAAAAAAGATTTTCAAAGAAAGAGCAGTTAAACTAAACTAGGTAGGTGGCCCCCTGAGACACAATTACTGTGATAGTTCAAACAGATGCCAAGTCTTCCTGAATCAGAAGCTACAGTGCACCTACAGTAGCTTAGCGTCAACAGCACCGAGACAAAGGTAATGTACACAGTCTTAACTCCCTGCCATCTACTCTTCTTTTTTTTTTAGTTTAACAGCAGCAGTTTCATCTCTGTATTTAGGTAATGGTTTAAATAAATATACGGTAAATTAACAGCGTACAGATTTTCTGATAGTGGGCAAAAGGTGATTTTAGTTAATTGGTTGATCAACAAAAATGTATACTTTTTTCTATTACGATAATTAATAATTCAAATATTTTTTCAAGCAGAATTGCCAAACATTACCTAATTACAGCCTTTTAATGGTGTGGATTTGCTTTTTGTTGTAAGTTAGTATTGAATTATACCCCAGAGCCTGGAGTCCACTGGTGCAGCCGTGTGTTGTCTTACAGTAAAGGTACTCTTACTGAATTTCTTTTCAGTCACTAGAGGATCTATTGAGACGCAAAACACACTCACACTATTTCTTACCACTCTTTGTCAACTCGCTTTTTTCAAAGCAGGGGAGACGCTTTTATGTTGAACCAGTTCAAAATTATTTACATAGTAATGAAACCTAAAACAAACAATTGCTCAGTCTCAAGGGGACGTAATGCAAGAATAAAGCTGATGATGCATCTTTGTGACACCAGTGCAATGCTCCTTGTGTGTTGTTACACAGTTTCCCCGAGTTCACAGCCACTAATGCCATCATGGAATTTGGTGTGAGCAGAAATAAGGTTGACTAATTATCTCATCACAAAGTCATTGCTGTACTGAAGGCACAACAGTCTACTCCTTCTCCTTTAGCACTGAATCACACTCCATATTTGAGTGTGATGCCAGATTAAAATATGTATGAAACAGCAGCAGGATGTGTTATTCAGGTCTTCTGAAAATTCTCTTCACTCATTTTGTGGTAAACCTATTGCAAATATGCACTTTATCACTACACAGTCTGCATGTACTAAAGGTATGTTGTCAAGTTAAGTGAGATCATTAGATCAATTAGGAGACTGTAAACAAGGACAAAAAGAGTTCTGTAGAATACAGTAGTCTCACAGATTAAATTCACCTGCCCAGTGCTTCTGCAAGTTTCTCTATACATTGACCCAACTTAGAAATATCATGTCAGGATGTAAATTCAGTCTTAGAGATGGAAAACAGTTTATGACTTGTAGGGAAGACCAAAATGAAGACAGAACTGAATCTAAGTATTTTGTTGCAGAATTAGTCGGTGAATAAGTCATTAATGAGCGGTTAAGTTTACACAGATGTGGGAGGAATAAACTGGAGAACAACTCACAGAAGTACTAGTCATACTTACAGTAGCACTGACCCGAGTCCTGACCTGTGCAGTCTGATGTCAACTCCACAGAGCCCTCTGTAGATTTGGGATTATTAATTCACAACTTTCATTGCCATTTTATCTTTTTATTTTCTATTTTATCTAACTTTTTAAAAATATATATATTTTAATCTGCGTTGCTGTCCACACCAAAAAATGCATTCTGAAATTCAGCTAAAGCTTTGGTAGTCTGAGTTAGCAAAATCAGAATATCTTTATCTAGAGTAGGTTTATTGCTGATGCTTTATCCCAGCCAGTAAGTAACCCCAAGATAACAGTGCTCAGGGAAATGAAAAGGGGGAATTTAATACAAAAAGTATCACAACTTTGGAGTAGATTGCATGCTGTTAGAGCTAATAGCTAACACAAGGGACTAATTTCCACCTGTTTGGGTCAGATTTAAAGACATATGATTGGCCAAAAGTTATTCATGGAAAAAAAAATGGAAGTTTTCGGGAAAGTTTTAAGAGGTTTATTCTGCTTGACCTGTTTTGCTGGAGAATACGTTTCTCAAATCTCTACAACAGAAATGACAAATGCCAAGTTAACAAGGGCTGCAGATATAGTCAGAATAAAATAAAGGAAAATACCAGATTTTTCATTTAAGATACACACTTTCACTAATGTTTAATCCATCATATTACAGTCTTACTGATAAATCAGTATCAAGCACTTCTCTTCTCATTTCTAATTCCTAGTTTCATGTACCCCTACCCCTTCCCCCTCTTCACTCACATGCCCATACATACTACTACAGTACCCAAAGCAAAAAAAAAAGCAGTGCAACTAACTTCATAATTGCCATCATCTGAATGGATCTAACAATCTGACATTCTTGACAACTTGATTCTCTAAAAGAGGCAATTGGGAAGAGTGGCGCTCTGGAAGAGTTCCATTCAGGTGGGTAAGAGACATAGTAAAGTGTAAGAGTACAAATAGCCCGTGGTCAATCCACTTAAAGGAGTATTAATGCTTCAAGACTGATATACCATTGAGTATACAATTTGTTAAATGGCTTAAAAGTTGTGAAAGATAAGCGATGTGTCCATTTACGCCAGTTCTTACTGACAGGAAGCACGTTTACATTATCAGGATAGCCAATAAACCAGCTCTGCAACCAACACCACCTTTGCAATGATTTTACTGAGGCACATGGGTTTTATTTCAACTCTAATGATGTCTGAGCCCAGTGTTATTCAATGCTATTCTATTGGCCTGCATTTTAAGGTCCAGTGTACTCATATTGGTCCATTCCTCTGTGTATTCAGTATTTAGTGTTCAGGAGTCTGTATTTCCTACAGCTGTTCCATCTGTCCTCTCTCCTAGATGACCCAACTGTGCAGGGCTTGGACAAGTCCCGCCATCTGCAAACAGGAGAGATGGTCATAATAGTGGTGGTCTTGGTCATGTGGGCAGGTAAGTTTTTAGACAGCGTGTTCAATAATATACCTGATCACAGTTTTTTTTTCTATCAAAATTAAAATAGTTTTAGTTGTTTCAACACTGATTTCTGTATTTGTGCTATCTTTGCTTTTCTTACTGGTTTGAAGTGGATAGAAAAGTTTTGTCAAAATGTCAACAGTACTGATTAATGCCCGTTCTGTAATACTGGCGATAACTATCTCTGTAAAACCTTGACATCCTTGTCTTTCAGGGTGACACAGTAACAGATGTTTTTAAGCTTTTAATGGTTATTATTGTGAAAAGATATTAAAAACCTGCATAATAAGATACATGATCATTTGTGAGAACTGCAGAGTGTTTGCATTTATTTTCAGCATCAGTGAAGACCAATGGTGCACATCGGACAGATGTTTCACACTGTAGATTATCTTAGTTACATCAATACACTGACACACTAATCAATGGACAGTCATCCAGAACAAGAGCTGTAGGATCGCTACTAAATGAAGTCCAAAAACCTGAGTAACACACTTTCAGAAATAAATCTGACAACTCTGAACAGCTCGTCCCTTTACGGGTTTTTCACAACAGCGATGTCAAACCAACATCATGCTTTTCTGAGCAATCTCTGCATCTAAACTCTCTGTCCAAGTATGAGTTTCTACTCCTTTGAGGAAAGTGTGCTGATTAATGAAGTGTTGAGGCACAGTGAGAAGTGGCATGTCTGACAGGTTGCCAGGAGCAGTGTTCCCCACCCCCGGGCACTGGAGTGAGACATTAAATAGTACTAATGAGAGAAACGTTTAACTCTGACCGGTTCTTTTGTCTGAAGGCCCCAAGAAGTAACACTCAGGATACAGGAATCAGCTTCAAGTAGATTTATTTTCTTCTGGTTAAATACAGAGTTATTACAGCGCTGGGCTCTGTGAGATGACAAGTCTCCAAGAGCCTCGATAATCACAAATCATTCACATTTATCTTCTCGGGCTGGGACTGCCCTGTACATGGGTGGTACATTACACATCAATATTCTAGAATGTTCATATAGGTAGTATGTGTGTTGTTATCTTCTATTTTCAGGCGTTTCTTTCCAACTGAAAATGTACATGTAGTTAGCTGTGTCACTTACTTCCCTGATTCTGTTGTAAAAACCCCTTACTCATGCTTCAGACATGGGTGAATAGTTCAAGCCCGTCAGACTTTACGTCTGCAAAATAGCATAAATTAACAGCATCTTATCTAGTTTCCAGAACGACACTTATCTAGGCACTCTACTCTTGCACAATTATCTAAGAAAACAAGAAATACTACAAGTTGACCTGCAGCTGAAAATTATAACTGTTATGCATGTATAAGAGCCAGGTTAATACTGATACATAGTGCTGTTAATAAAACAGACAATCTTACTAAACTTTATCATTATAAAGCAAAATAATACTAACAGTAAATAAAACTAACTCCTGAAATCCAATTCTAACAAAACCAAACTAACACAGAGGAGTGGGAGCGAAAGGAGAGAAAATACATCATGTGACACAATCATAATAGACTGCTCATCTTGGACAGTCTAGTTTAAAGTCCCTCCCGAGTTCTCTTTGCCAGAAGTGTCTGAAATTCAGAACCTCAGTGAAGCAAGGAAGTTAGTAGTGAGCATTCACTACAGTACTACTCCAAACTGGAGGCAGTACTGCATCTGCCAGACATCTGGCAAAATACAACAAAGCAAACTCCATAGAGAATTACTGTCTTCTAAGCTTTCAGATAAAGGCTCTGCAATCACACTACACTGGGAGCAGAATTCCATTATTCATATGGCTTTTCAATGTATTCAGCTGGGGGAAGTGGTGACACTCAGTGACAGACAGTTGCCACCTCATCACTGAATCCCTATCCTCCTTTGTGTGTCACACATGTGCGGCTCTGTCACCTCCTGGCAGCTGTTATTGCACTGTTCTGCCGGCAGTATGACATCATCAAAGACAACGACTCCAGCAACAATAAGGAGAAGGCCAAGCCGTCGTCAGAGAGGAGCACACCGGAGCACCACAGCGGAGGACTCCTGAGGAGCAAGGTGAGCTTTGCTCCTCTCAGTACAGGTTCACACCACAAGCAGTTCAATAATATTTACCAGAATTAATTTCCTGTTCCGTATCGAAAGCCTACATAGCAGCCTCATGCATCTCTGACACAGAGAGTCACAAAAGTGTCCCAGAAACTCATGACTGTTATGGTTTAGTCCCCCTCACCAGGAGGGTGGGGGAGAACTGGGGTTGGACTCAAGATGGCTGACCCAGGTGCTACTGAAAGAAGAGGGTTTAATAGAAAAACACAAAAGTAGTAACCAAAACAGGGTCCATGTACATGTATAAACATAGTGGGGCAGAGACAGTGGAGGAGACCAAGACGAACAGGTAAATAAGGGTAAACATACAAACTAACGTCAGGAACTAGGATAGCAGGAGGATGAGAACGGACAGGTGAACAAAAAAGAACCAAAGTAAACAATGTAATCCACAGCACAGGGACTGTCAGCGTGGAAGACAAAAGCACGTATTTAGGTATTGCTAACCGCATAATTAGCGTGATAAGGTCAGGCCAAAACGCACAGGAACTGTCAGCGTAGCATCTTACACACGTCTAAAAATGCGGGTTAAACACAACATAATCACCTACTTTAGGTAAGTAGTGCGCGTTAGTAACGTAATGCTCCGGCGACGACAGGGCGTCTGCCAGAGGTTTAAATAAGGAAGAAAACAAATTACCGGAATACGCCTCAGGTGTGCGCACCGACCCACGAGTCACTAATTACCCGATGCGACACAGCTGAGAGCGGGAGAGAGAAAAAAAAAAAGAGAGAGAGAGTTAGGTCGCCCCGAGCGGACCTGGCAATGACAGTGTGACGTCACCAGCACATGTAACATCAAGACCCTGAAACCAAGGCGGCTAAATGGAATTCAGCCATCATTCATTTTATGATTTACACCTGTACTTTAACTACTGTCTCAGCCAACTCATCCTGCCATGAAACGTCCACCTCTTTGACACTTCACAACTGTAAACGTGATTATGCTGGATATTAATCCTGTATGATTACTGTAGTTTAGAAACATCTGGCTCTGCTGCACAGGCCATAAAACAAAAAGCTCCAAATATGTCCAGGCTAATGATGGATTTATGATGCTTGATCAGGAGAAATACAGTGTGCTGGCATAGGGGAACCCTACCAAATTCTTCTCTCCTGTGCTGTGCTCTTCTAAACACTCATTTAAAATGGATTACACAGCAGGCAACCATCGCCTTGATTAAAATGCAAGGCTTAAATTGACATTTGATTAGCAAATGTGATATTCATGGGGCGACAAACAAAGAGAGAAGGTGTAGTTCTAATTAAAAGTAAACCAAACCTTATATCAAACCAAGGAGTGAAAACCCCTGCTATGAAAAAGTTCATTATCGGGGCACTGGTGGAGTTTTGAGTGTGCGAGACATACCTTTAAAAATAAAAAGTAACAGACAGCACAGCTCAGTAATGAAGCCATGGCAAATTGATAATCCAGGTTTTGCACTGTTGTGGTGCAATGTTGACTTCTTGCTCAGAATTAAAACAGGAACACTATAGTTCTCTTGTTAAAATTCTCTATAAAGGTTTTTTTTTTTTTATTAACCCAAAAGCAAGAAAAATACAAAATTAACATCAGATAAACTGGGCCCTAAAAGAGGTCAACAAAAGATAAGGAAACTCAAAATACAGCAAACTGAACTGTCTAATACCTCAACAAAACCAACTGACCTGACAGATGACACACACAGGGGAACGTATATACTGGCTGGCCAGACCAATAACACACACAAGGGATAAACTAAAGACACTACCAAAATAACCAACTAATAAACACTAAACAGACAGTCTGCTCTCAACTAAATATTTCCTTTAAATATAAAGAAATTAACATAACTTGACAAATAAAGTTCTAACATAAACTACCAACAAATAAACAATACATTTCTCCCAAACTCCCCCCTTTCTTATATTGGGCACTTGGTGCAGTCCAGGCCTAGTGCGAGGTATTTAAACCTGCTGCTTCCTCAGTCCAATCTTTTAACCGACCCCCCCTTCCCCCCGTAACTCAAAAGAAAAGGCAAACATTAACAATACAAAATTAATCGAACGTGCATGTTCTTTGATCAGTTGTGTATGTCCAATATAAATTACCCACCCAAGTCCATGGCTGGTGGTGGTCTAGGTCCTCACATGGTGAAGGCCAGGACTGAGGCCTTCACACAGCCAGAAGCAGTGCATTTATCTTCAATATCTTTCTTTATTTTAAGTTTTAAAAAGTGAAGAATCAATGGTGATTTTTTTTTTCTTGGCTCTTGCAGTTTCATCCTTCTGTGCCGTCAGTTAACATCATTGAAGTTTGAGAAGAAGGAAGTCAAGGTTCAACTCTTCTCTCTTCTACCACTTTCCAACCTTTCTCACAGATGAGGAAAATGACTGAGAACATATATGAATAGGGTTGGCCAAGGCTGTCTTACAAAACACACCTGTTAGACATGCATGCACACAGTATTTGTAGGAAAACAAAGCACTACAAAACAGATACACACTCCAACACCCAGCCAGCAAACCTATACAATTCTACAAGTACAGTAGCTAGAAACAACCTATTCCTGCAGGTTGATAGTACACAAATTAATGTTAACCCATGGTGCAGTTAACATTGATGTTTTTGCCAGGTGCTTGGTATGTTATTGCAATACAAAACAAACACAATCCATCATCTCTGGGAGGTCTGTCTTCATGATTTTAAATATGCAGTGTATTTTTGATATTGGCATGTGCAGTTAGATAACCCCAATCACCTGTTACACACACACACACACACCTTAGCTCAATATATTCAAATACTGCCTGATCACAAATGTATATCACTGTCAGACTGCTGTGGGCATTTGGTTAATAAGGAGAGAAAGCAAATATGTACTGTAAGTAATTATCCAAACTGAAATGCCATTTTTAGGATAGCATTGCATTTTTTTCATATTTCATACGTGACATGTCTGTACATATTTCATACATTTACTAAATGGAGTTGCATGCAGGTCATTCGCCTGTAGAATAGCATTTAATGTGCATTCTAAGTTAGATGCCAAAACTGGACAAATAAACATTATTGCAGTACTATGAAGCTGTTACTGTTTTCTTCTGTTTTACCTGCTTATAGAACAGGACTTCTATCATCCAGTGTTTCATTTTAGGTCTTGTAGATTTCCTAACAATTGTATTACCTGAAAAATAAATAAAGTAAAGATTTCTTGTGAATGTCTTATAAGCTGAAGTTTCTCTTACTGAAATGAAGAAATCACTTCCACTGTGCACAGAACGCACCTTTACACAAAAGAGACTCAGCAGGAGTCACAAAGGTGCAATATTGTAAAAAGCTCTCCCAGGCTTTCAGTAGAAAACTGCTCTTCATGCACAAAATATTTGCCAAGTCACATCACAAGTTGTTTTAATGCTGAAAATACTTTGCAGGTACAGATACTTAAGATGATCGTGAACATATTTTTTTATTATGAGGTGCAAAATGCACACAGTGCATGAAAAGTAACATTTTTCTCATGTGTTGTTTCTTCAGCCACAATCCTGCATTTTGCACTGGGTGCTGCAACAACACATAATGGCTGCATTTTCAAAAGATCTGATGGATTTATACATCCTGAAAGACCCCATACATTGGCAACGCTTAAGGGAAATGGCATAGTCAATATTTATTCTTAACCTCATCTTACACAAGTAGTAATAAATAAAACGACCGGCAATAAAACCACTATACAGTATGCTTTACAAAATGTCACCAACCTCTGCCCTCTCTAATATATTAGTGGAACTCCTCCAGATTGCTGCAGCAATTAGATCTCAATATCATTTTACATCAGTTTAGCTGATTTATCATTTCTTCTATTCATCTCTTGAAAAGCTAAACAAAAAATTTGAGCAAACCAGTTCATATAACTGGGACTGTGAAGTGACGGCAGGGATCACAGGCACGTAATTTGATAGAATAATGTCTAAATAAAGGTTTTCAATTTAAAAGCTGGCCCTCAAGTCTGGTAAATGCCTGTGTTGATGCTCCTCCGATATTTAACCAGGAGAAAGAGCAGTAAAAGGCCATAAGAGTAGGACAGATACTGGTCACACTACCAAAGATTACAGTATTTTCCTATGGTGCATTGATTACAAAAATAATACAGTCTCTATCAGTAACTAAAAGGTAGTCATCAGGTCTTGTAGTTATCTTGCCAACAGCTTCTACATTTATCCTGAATATGCCAGAACTTAAGACAAGACCATCTGCTGCAGTACTTAACAGAACTAATTTAATAAGACCTGGCCTTTAAACTAGAATGCTCCTAATCAAAAATGCAATTAAACAGAAGTATCTAAGAATACAGCTCATCTTAAAATAGAAAGTGATTACAGTGTCCTAGGAATTAATAGGTAATATTGTACTCTCTCCTACAGTAACTCTTGTGTCACTGCAGCGCTGCAGGCTACTTCCATTAGTCGTTCAGGTGATTTATGGGCTGTTGATATGGCTTAGATCAGCTTTGGTAAGATTTTACATGTGATTCTATGCCATTTCTGTAAACAAATGGATCTATAAATACAGCAAAGGAGTACTCTCTCATCACAATGGTCTACAACCAAAAATGTTTTTGAAACAAAAATAATCTTTGCTAAATCTGCCAGCACAAGGTCTGAAATATTGAAGTTTTCCATTAGGCATAAGCATGTGACTGTGTCAGTCAGGCTGCCAAACAAGAGAACGCCGTTGCTTTTGACAGACCACAGCGTCTGGCACTACTGAAGGCCAAACCATCTTTGTAAATGAACCGTATATAGAAGAAGCAGCTTTTAGTTAAACACAGGATTCTAAAAATGAAATGTTTGTACAAAGTCTTTTATTAAGCATAAATATGTAACAAACCATAACAGTTTCCAAGTTGTGTACAATTTCCTTACAGTTTAAGACAACCACTGGGAGTTTATTCACAAATTGCTATCATCATAATATTACTACACAGCTGGAAACCCATTAATTGCATAGGTAAAAAAATAAGCACCTTTTTTGAAAAGTCAACTGATACTGTCATTTGGGCAGCAGTAGCTTGTGTGAGAATTCTATGCTTTTACAATTTAACATCGTTCTCATTTTTATAAGCCAAATGTTTGCTGGCCTCAGACCATCACAAGCTGATTTGTATTCTGGGCACTCTGGACTCAGTTTGGCATATTACAGTACACCCCCCATGTGCAGGTCCGTATCCCCTCCTGCATGGAAAATTCTCATCCACAGCCACATGCACTCAAGATTAGCTGGGGAGTCTACTCTCATCAATGTGCTGTATACAGTACCAGCTACATGAAACCAAGTGTTTACTCATGTGAGTACATCTACACTCTTGACTGTTGTTATTGAAAACCAATTCGATCTCTCACTTCAACCAATTCATCTCTAAATGCCACTTAATGCTGTAGCACTGAATCAGTGGATAGTGAAGCATCCACACACAGATCGACCACTAACTCAGTGGTGGAGCTGAAAACGTGAGAAAATCCTTTCTGCTTATGAGGACAGATGTTTGAGACAAAACTCAAGTGACAGTACTGCATTTTGACAGTGTACCTTGCTGACCTTGAACTTCACAGTCAATACTGAAATGCAAACATGGCTCAATATACAGTGCAATAACAAGCTGGATGATATCCAAACAATATAGAGCTTCCATTCAAAAATGCACCTGAGGTGGTATTTCAGCCAGTCAGCAACAAAATAATGCAATTAAGCTTCATGGTGTAACCTGATAAGCCTTCCAGTTTTTCTGCCGCGGGTGTCATGATAACAATGCAGAGTCACCGCTTCTCTCCCCCATCATAATTATTCTCAGTCATGATGCCAGGAATTCAGAGAGAAGGACCACTTCAATCAGGCTCGGGTGTACTATAATATCCTCTTCATCGTGAGCGTCGTCTGATTGGTAGACAGTTCCATGTAGAGCAACAATTTGTGTATAATGAGATTTGGGACAAAACAGATGTTTGGTGGCACAGATTACAGTCAAGAGTGGAAAATGTGAACCGCATCTATCAGCAGGTCATTAATGTCTTATTTATGATGTAGTAATCATACACTTGTACCTCAGTTACTAATGGCTATTTTGCAAAAATACAGCAAATCTTGCAGTAATAAAAACACATACAGACAAATATTCTGTACGTACAAACTGTATCTGAAAGCAAAACTGGGGTCCGAACATTCACATCTCAACAAAAGTGACAATTATTAAAAAAATAAATAAATAAAAAAAAATTGTGTGTGAAGCCCCAATTCTATTCATCCTACCTTATATATGAGACGGTATGGACACAAACATTACTCGACTTTGATATTAAAAAAAATACAGTGTATGGAAATAGGTTTCCTTTCTCTAATATTCTGGCCTTGCCATACAGTTTTCCTCGTAACCCCACATCATCACTATTATTTGACTGTATCTTTATGTACAATGGCAACTGAGTGAAATGTAAATCAGTCATATTTTGGTTATCCAAGCCATATTCAAATGGGATATCAGTTGAAACTGGTTGTTACAGAAATGTCAGCTGCTTCTACAGCAGAAAATGTTGCTTTTCTCTAAATAACCTCTAAACAATCTCATAAAACCTGATGTCTTTATTGATATTAACATAAAACAAGCAAACCAAAGGATTTTTAATTTGGATTACTGATTATTACACAAGCATAAAAAGGCTGGCTTGTGTTTGAATTTCATTTTCAAACCCAGATATTTGGTTGCTTCAACAGGGACACTTCACCGATTTTCTACATCATGTTCAATCCCCAGTTTTAAACATGGCAATGAGACTGAATGAAAAGAGCCACTGTATTACACTTTAGCATGAAGGTTCATTCTGTACCTTGAAAATAGTAGTTTTAATAGTAGCTAAAATGAATCAACAAAAGAGCCACTTACTTGGTGCTTCAGCTAAATAATAAACTGTCATGGAGATACTGTAGGTTAGTTTGTTACCTCATACAAGTCATTTTGGTCTTGTTATAACAGGTGGATGAAAATGGGTAATTAAAATCTGTCTTAAGCTGATTCACCTCTATTATTAATGAGGTGGATGCTACCTGGCCGCTCGCTCCATCAAATTAAACAATTTCCATGATATGTACTGTCACTACTTTGTAAATGTTGACCGTACATTTCAAGAAACATTTCCTTATTTTTTAGGGTTGATTCTCACTTTTGCAACACATTTATGTTGCTATCACTAAAATTCCCAGTATGTATCTCTAACAGCTACAGTACTGTGCAAGTCTTAGGCCATCATTAGTTCTGCTTTAGCAAAGTTGTAATGATATTTGTCTTTTTACTTCAGATATAACCAGAAAATATGTACACAATATTTAAAAAACATTTCTGAACAAAATGGCTTCTACAGTCCAAAGTCTGTATTCAGTGTGACCCTGCTTTGCACCTAGCACAGCTTGAATTCTTTTGGGGGAGACTGTGTTGAAGTCTTGAAAGCATGACGGAGTCAAATTCCTCATGTGTCCAACACAGCTGGCCAATAAAGCAGATTCTGATTCTTTGTGAGCTGTTGCATATCTCAGCCTTTTCTCCCTGTTCCTTTCTAAAAAAAAGTGGTTTCTTGACTGCTGTCCTTCCACAAAGGCTGTTCATGATCAAGGTTCTTCAGCTTGTGGAAGGATCAACTTGGCATCCAGATGAAGTTGCCAGGTCCTTGCTGGATTTCCTCCAGTCTGTCAAAAAAGAAACTCAGAAACTTCTTGACCTTTCCGGAATATTCATATTTCTTTAAAACGGCTTGAATACCACATCTGGAGTATCCAGCTTGATTACCAATTTTTTTCCTGACATTTTTATTTTATTTATTTATTTTTTAAATACTATGTACATATTTCCTATATTTTCTAGTTGTATTCTGATAAACATATACAGGCATCAAAGGTTGCCTAAGTCCTTTGCACAGTACCATACACCATGTGCTGCTTCCTTCTCAAAACTACTAGTTCATTCAGGACAACACTCTGAATGACAAATGTAGATTTCATCCAATATCATCATCAGTGTCTGATGAGAACTTCTAACACAGGACGTCTTCCAGTGACAGTTGTTACTCCATCAAGCAAATGACAAGACTAGAAAGCTTTTGTGTGTTTGTGAAAGAAAGTCCAATATGCACGCACACATACATACACACACCTGTGTTCAGTTTTCAGCAGAATTTAAGTGGAATCCATGTGTTTGTGTTCTTACAAATTTAGATTTAAAACTCCAAACTTAGTATTCATCCAATAACCTTGCACACTGTGTTCACCATCTCTCATCTTGGCAGTTTGTGAACATTTGAATATGACAAGAGATGGCTGTTTACACCGAGAGGAGTGTGTGTTGACTGGCAGGCATACACAGAAAAGGTTATAGTATCAGGGTATTCATTCTGGTTTCTCTGCAACAGTCAGAATATCAAGCAGCCTCTAGGCTTCAGGTTGTGCACTGGGGAGTGCGATATGTTTTGCTGTCTGTTGGGTTGAGGTATGCTGTTTTGTGGTTGTTTATTTTGTTGGTCTTGGGGACTGTGGTATGATCTCTGTGGTGCTGTAAGTGGGGCAGCTATTGCCAGTGTGTGTGTTATTCAAACTCATTGATGCAGACAGATCGTCACTGGCAACCTCCTGACTCAGAGCTGCATTGTCAGAGACGGGTCCGGAGCAGGACTCGGCCAGTCTGACAGAGAAAGAGAAATATAGAAGACAGAAAAGTAATATTGCAAGGGAGGTCAGAGACGTTTGCATCGAAAGGGTTCATAGGAAATGCAAAGGTCAAAAACCTTGAGAAAAAGAAAGGATAAATGGAGTGAGAACATGCAGAACATGACGGTCTGCATCTGGACTGACAGTGAGTGGAGAGAGAGAGAGAGAGAGAGAGAGCAGTATGTTACAAATATTATACCAATATTACAAATTTGCCTCAATGGGCTTTACAATCTGTATAGCACGACACCCTCTGTTAGACCCTAGAGGAGACATTGAAGGAATGATTTCATGCGCAAGCGCAGCGCACCCCCCCGCCATCACCCATCACCTTACATACGTAAAAATAGCCCATCTGCCTAAAGGCAGAAAGCAACAGCTGCTGAAATAATGAACAGTTTATTTGAACTGAGCCAGTTTAGGAATGAATGAAATGATATAAATTACACTAGAGTCCAAGGCTCCAGAGACATCATTTACTGCCACTCTACTAAACTAGTTTGTGCTGTAAGGAGGACTCTGTTACCTGGTGTTACTTTTATTCTCTCAAGATTTCGCCAGTGTCTTATTTATGCACCTATGATAAACTCAGTTACTAAGATGTTGGAGCATAAAAAAAAAAAAAAATCTGTTTTTAGCTCATGAAAACAGGAGAACGTCTGTAAATGAGTGTTGGCTAATGTTATTTAACCAGCTATTTCTAACTAGCAAGAGTGAAGTTTTACCTCCGTGTTCTTTTAAACTGAAAATTACACATTTTAGGGTACGATCCTTTCTATGGTCAGGTAAGATGTCAAAAACTTACAAGGTGCTCTTATGTCAGTTTAAACTGAAAATTACACATTTTAGGGTATGATCCTGTCTATGGTCAGGTAAGATATCAAAGGTGCTCTTATGTCAGTCTGGCTTTTGATTTGTCTGTCTGGTTAACTACCTGCCCTTCTCTGTTTAGATTACTGTTACTTATATTATTATAAACATATATTGAAGTGGCTACATAGCTTTAATGTGGCTTAGCCACAAATGTGCAGATGCCAGTAGTTTCCCTTGTGGACAGTGTGGCTGATAAAAAAAAGAAATGATCCTGGAATTATTGGTAGTATACTGTAAATGTAAGGCGTCACACAGGAACACTACATACAACACCTTTAACACTTACCACTGTCCATCTCTTCTACTTCCATGTTACTGCATGCCAGGCAGAGGACAGAAGAAATCATGACAATGTGGCTCAATGGTAAAGGTTAAATTAAAAAAAGAAATAATTTACCTTTCATTTAAGTGCAAATCAAACCATTTAATTTAACCCACCTGATGCCAATAGTTGTATGGTAAGCACCAGTTGCCCTGGTTGTCAGTACTGTGCCTCCACTTAAACAACTATCCTGCACTTCTAAAAGTTATATTTTTCACAGAACCTTGATCTGTGCTGATACGGTTAAACAAAACTATTTTTTACTGAAGTTGGTTTGGTTGCATCAGTTGTGCAGTACAGTGGCTCAACTTGCTTTAAAACGCTGCTAGTTACACACAAGCTGACAAACCTTCACAGTGATTGCTTTGTTGGTCCAGGATCCTTCCTCGCAGACAGTGGTGAGGGCTATGTTGTATTCACACACCAATGTTTGAGCTCCATTTACGACTACAAATCTTTCCAAAACTCCAAACTCATTTGCCAGGAAATGTACAGTACTGTGTTACTATGACAGCCTGGAGCTGTCATTGCATCAATCACTTATGGTAACATAATATTTTACAGGATTTTTAATATGGTGATTTCATGGTTTTATTTGACCGTTTAAAACCTTGTTAATGTTGATTAAACTTTGCCTCATTTTAATGTAGCATTAAAAATTTACAACAATGGAAATAAGGGTGCAGTGCAGTGCAATCCCTATAGGGAGTCTACAGTCACAGGAGCTGTCAAAGAGAGTCAAAGGTGTGATCTTAAACATCTGGAAAGATTCCACCGCAGCCCTCTGCTGATCTAAAGGCACACCACATGTAACACTAAATAGACGTGGACAACTCACTGTGATCTAGAGTTTTCAGTGTTTCAGGACAGATCTTATCTACCCGTTTGCATTGCCTCTGCAGACCTTAATATTCCTGCAGAGGTCTGTCCAACACTCCAGAATCCTCCACTCACTAGTCTACGATGTCAGGTTTAACTGTTCCATCTTCCTCCATTTTACAACCACCTGCACTGGAGGTCAGTATTTCATTGCCCTTGCTGAGCAACCTGCCTTTCCACGCCCAGCCAGCTTCTAGACAGCCACTACTGCATATAATCTGTGCCTCTCATTTGCCTATTTGCCTCAACCAAAGTGTTTCAAGCTCCAACACAACACCCACAGTGCAAACGATTAGAGCAGATACAGCAGTTTCCTACCTCCTAAAATGTCTCATATTAGATAGCTCTGGTTTAACAAGGCATTGGAGATTTAACAACACATCTACAGTACATGTTCAGTCAGAAAGCAGCACTCTGGGCCAATTTACAAACAGAGCACTTGAAAACCGCCAGGAGCTTCGTCAGTTTGCATTTTCATTCTTCTGCCAACAGCAGAGCAGTTATATAAACAAAGATGCCACACTATCAGTAGAGTAATGCCCTCTAAACTGTAACCTTGAGACATATTTTCATTTAATCCTCTACTTGAGCTCAGTACCATGGATGCTTTTTGCACAGTTACTTTAGATAAGGACATTTTTACATGTCTGTTTATACCAGAGTGTGTAAATTTCAGTAAAATTGTGTGAGTCACAGTCTGTCTTATTTAAAAGAGTCTAACTGACCATCACCCTTACAGTAACTGTCATCTTCCAAAATCATTCAAATGTATTTAAAAGGTTTTTTTTGTGTTTTTTTTTAGAGTAGGCATTGAAATAATTAAGCTTTTTTCCCCAGGGGAATCCTTAAGCATTTTGTGTACAAGAACAACCACATCCTCAAAGAATATGTCCTCGGGGCTAAACAGATTTGTAGTCATATGCAAAGGTTACCTTGAGAACGTATCGTCGAGTCCATCCTCCATGTCCTGTTGAGGCATAAACAATGTTAATCAATACACACACATTCATTACATCAAATTACAATCCTGCTGGCTCTGTGCATCGCCACTGACTCAGCTGTTTGTCAGAACTTGTCTTATTCAAACAACAAATAAATTCATGAACTACTGAAACATCACATGGAACATCTTGTTTGACTCACTATAACTGTACATTAATCAATATTCATATGTCAATAGTCTGTGATTTACAGATAAGAAATACCATACAGTCCTCGATCCACCTTCCCTGCTCTGGTTTTTAGGATGGCAAGTGATCCAACCTACTTAGATCAGCTTTTGCTCTTAAGACACTAATAGATGCTAAACAGTCATGTGATAAAGATCATGTTAGAATAGCTACCTGACTCAGAGCATACTTTCTCCCAGTGAGATAAAACTGCTGTCAGGGAAAGTATACAACAATGAACAAAGTTGAACTTCACTGTGTGACATCAGCTGGTAGGAAAGATATTCTAAACAAAATGGTGCCACCTACTGTTGGGCATGTGTAAGTGAACAGGGTGGTGATTGACACCTATGGATACAGTACTGTGGCCTTGCCTGGCTCCTGTTGCCTCTGTATCCAACATAGTAAATCCAGTCTTGTAAGCCCATCCATTTGTTTATGTTAAAACTCAAAACTCCATTTTTAAAGTTTGAGAATGAATAAATAAAAAGTGCAGTGTCTTTAAGCAGTTACATCTGTGTATGTTGTCAGCCATGATAATAATGCTGATGTAGTTTTGGTGACTAGACGCTTGGACTGTTTTCCAATTCTGATAACAAGCAAAACCTTACAGTTAACTTCATCAATAAAGTTTTTAATTGCCAAAACAGTCCCCAGCCTTATATTACCTCTCATAAATATTATTCCAGTAAGTTCAATGCAGTGAGGTATATAGACTTTAAAGCTGGGAAGACAAGAGTACTAATATTCAACTGGTACTCTGTATTGGTAGATATCCAAAGGTCAGAATTTGGTATCAAGTCAGAACAAGTTCAACCAGTGTATCCTTAAAAAACAGCCCACTATAAACCTTTCATTTAACCAAAAAACTGACTATAACCATTTTTTGAGGCATAGGGTGTGACCTACCCAAGAGTCATGTTTGATTGGTCGCCTTCGAGTGGGGTTACTATGAGGCGAGGGCGAGCTGAGTGAGGCAGAGAAGCAAGGCCTTCGGAGCTTCTCCTCTATCCCAACAGGCTTGTGTTCCTCTGAATCTGAGGGGGACGACGGGTGTAGACAGGAGTAAAACATTAAAGAGCAGAGACACAGGAAGTGAGACAGTGAGGCCAATGAGCGGAAAAAGAAAAGAATGGAGACAGAACAGAGAGAGAGAGAGAGAGGAGGAGGAGACTGGTCAGCATCTTTGTCTCATTAACTCTGCAGTTTCTCAGCAACAGGAGGAATTTAAATCATCGTGTAAAACTTTCATACATTTGTGCCAAGTTACTTGTAAGGTCCTTCAGGCTTTCACGTCCGATTTTCTCTCTGTCTACAGGTCACTATCGCTGAGAGTAGAGCAAATTTTAATTAAAAGAAGCTGGAAAAGTCAGGCCTTAACTAAGACCCAGCTGCATGGTTAATTAAGTCTCATTTTGTGGACCAGTTGACCTCCTGATGATTGGAAAACGGCTTGACCTATAAATGTCACGGCCATTGGAAAGTATTGAAAATCTACTGCTCCCCTGAATGTCTAATGATTCCCATGTAATTAGGTGATTTGTCCTGTGTGTGTGAGAAGTGACTGACATCAGAGAGATTTGTATGTGAGAGAGAGAGAGAGAGAGTGCAGTGTCTCGTTGTGAGCACACTACAATTAAAAAGGCCTTTTTAAAAAGTCATATTGCAACTGCCTGCAATAGCATGTACATAATCGTGTTCCTTAGAAATGGCTGGGTTTTTTTGAGGAAACCAGGGCCTCAAGTTTAGAGGAATATACACCTGTGTGGATGCAAGGACCAACTCTAAATCTGCCTCTACTGTAATTACCATCTCATTTCAGTGACTGAATCATATTACAGCTGACACGTTTACAGTACTAATTAGATCACTGTAAGCTTGTTAGTGGCAGGCAGTTTGTCTTCAGCCATACAAGACAGTACGCTGTGATTAAACCACCCTCAACTTCCAAAATTCAACTGTAACATCTCCTTGGCAACAAAACATTAAAGCACCCCAAAATATGGTGTCAAATATTAGGAATTTCACAGTAACATAAAAAGTCATGAAAAACTGTTTTAAAAAGAGCTTAAAGGAAGAGTTTGACATTTCGGGAAGTATGTATACCGGTTTTCTTGCTGTGGATCAGATGAAAAGATCAATACCACTAATGTCTGTATGATAAACATGAAGCTACAGCCAAGTGGCAACTTCCAAGGCTGAGAAATGAAGCCACTGCCAAAGCAGTTCCTTGAATGGCCACATGAGGCTGGCTACAATAGGGACTCAGTCCATATAGACTCCCAACTTTACAGCCTGGTCTCTATAGCTAATTTCCCCTTCCATAACAACTGTACGGGGGGTGAATTTATATACAACTTGCCAATTTAGTGTGGATACAGACCAAATAAAATGAACTGACCTGCTGGAACACACCGAGAGTCTGTTGCCTCTGTCTGTCTGTCACTTGCTGCACAGGAACAGCAGGTTCTGGCCTTCTTGCTTTTGTCTGCAAACAGAATAAACTGTTCTCAAACAAGAACCATCTAGGTTTAAATGTGTGTTTCAGAACAACATACAGTTGTGGTTATTTCCTCAGTAATCCATGTTTAGCTGCAATTTTACTGTACTGTATCTGTAGTGCTGTGACATTCACATAGCATAGAGGAAGGTCAGGAGTATAAAGTGTCTTCAGCTCCTTTTGTTAAAATCAAAAACCTATAACCTTCATGCCAATTTGTCTTTAAAGCCACAGATACACTGGACAGATTAGTGCATTTCCATACATTTTGTCTGAAGAGCTCAGGGAGAACCCTTTTACTGAATTGCCCCAGTGTCATCTCCCCTTTGTTCGGTGAACTCACCTTCCTGAGCAATCTCCCAAAGATCTAGGGCTACTTTAAAGGCCTGGGCTACTGTCAATGTCACAGCCTGAGCCTGGAGGGGACAAATAAAGGAAGAACAGCACAGCAATATAATATATGTACTAAAAACAATTTTGTGGTAAAGAGGATGTTTGTTTTTACTTGTCTAGTCTGGTTTCTTCTTCTAAGACTAATATATATTTTCGTAATTTTACTTGGTTAGTTTGAAAACTATATTCACAAATTTAGACTCAACAGATCATATCTCTTTTTGAAAACTGGCTGAATATAGCTAGCAGCAACAGAAAACTGCGAGAAACCGCCACAAGATGGAGGCACAGACCATCGACATTCATGCTACTGGCTGCAGTTCATTATAAATGTATTGCACTCAGAGTGGGACAAACTGACCTCATGACCTGCTAATGTGTCAAAGCATCCGTTCAGTGCACTAAGCTACAGTACAAAGCATACAAATAATTACAACAAAGTCACAAGTGGTGCACACTTACAATCTTCTTCTTTTGGCAGAGGAATGCATGGCACTCCAGGGTCTCATTGAACTGACTCTGAGAGACGTATGCAAAGACCTTGTCCTGAGTTTTATCTGCCGTGCAATATGAAATTCTGAAAGACAAGAGGCAGAAGCAAGACATTATTACAGTTTACCAACATAGTCTATTACATACTATGTAACATTTGTGGATTTATAATGATATATGAGCCATTGTAGCTGCCAGGAACCAATATGCTGCATTAATGCCATGAAACAATATATATA